AAACTCCATAAGACGATGCATGGTGTCTTGGTGGTGTATTTATGGTGTATTTATTAACTGTATATTATTATGTATATTTCATGTAAACTATATCGTTTTTAAAATACAAACCAAAAATACGAGGAATAATTATGTTTTCCATGTATTCTACAACATATTTATTAATCCGTAGTATCTAACTAGCGTGACGTCATAAATCTCGCTCCGAGGATGTTCTATTAGAGACGGCATTGGTCTGATATTTAGAAATGTCAAAAGCTGATGACACTTTACTTTTGACAATTATACCATTTCGAGTTGATTTTTGCAAGAAGAGGAAGAACTGTCACTTGTTTTATTATTTTCCTTTTCTATTTCACGAAAGTAAAAAGAGTTACCTATCTGATTCGTTCAGGCACTCAATTTAAATAATATCAGTAACTTTTTTGACAGAGGGATTTTATATTTGCCATGTTGGTAAAAAATAACGGTCAAAATTCAAAGTTATTCATTTTATAGACTATAGTACACATTGGTCGAATTTTTCCTTCTTTAGATATAGTGGCATTCTAGATTTAAATATGATTGAGTTTCTTTTATAAGTACTCCATGAAAACTTAATTCTTCTGTTGATTTCTGGTAGTAAAGATTCCGAGCTGTGTATTAGTTGTCCCAAATGTAACTTGATTATCATGCTAAAATTATCCTCACAAAGCCAATGTGTTTCTTTTTATTAAAAAATAAATTAAAATTGTGATAAAAATACGATTATTGAACATTTTTTATGCCCAATAAAGTTTAATATGAATCTACTGAATTGTAATTGAAAAATCGACCAAACTAATTTTTTTGGTCTTCGAACTGGCTGAGTCAATATCAATTACTGTTCTGGGTATCATCAATTACATTATGCAATTTATCAAAGACGTGACGGCGCTGTTGACTTATTTACATGTCGATTATGAGCGGCCGTGTTTGATCTAATTGACTCGCTCTTTTTAAATTGACCCTATATTACATTAGATATACTTCCTTCCTATGTTAAAATTAGAAAAAAATACCTGCAAAAATCTATACGCAAATAAATTTGACTATTACATATTATTAAGATATACTTAGCTGAAGCCAAGCCCGTACTATAGACGGGTGGAGGGAAGCTTGTCGGGTGAAGGGTAATGGGTAGAGGGTAAATATATTTTGTACGCAGTAGTGGACGGAAAATTATTAAAACAATAACCAATCTAATCAAGTTCAGTTGCAAATTGTAGCTCCCGTGAGTGTCTTTAGTATCATGCCCCTTTCAAAATTTGCCAGAAGGCTTCTGCTCTGTGACAATTCTTATGTGAACTTTGTAAATATGGAAAATAAGGAGATGTGGGTGCATGAGTATAACTTGCATAGAGATCATGATGGAGAATTTTTGCGAGTTTACAAGAAAATGCGAAATTACCCTGACAAGTTTTTTAATTATGCGCGTATGAGTGTAAAATCGATTTGATTTTCTACTTAATAAAGTTCAAGGCAAATTAGGAAGGACGTCTACAAACGTCAAAGAAGCAATTTCTGCAGAACAACGCTTGTGCATTACAATTTTTCTTCCATTTTTAGACCAAAACTACTTTACGCCTGGCTGAAAATATCGAACACGACTGATCCTCAAGTGGCTTGCTTGGCGGGTTGCTTTGTGGCTTAAGTTGGTGGGGGATTGCACTGCGGCTGGTTTGGTTAAAATCACATGTTACGGAAACATACCTCGCGGGTTACTTGGAGGGTCGCTTGACGCCTCGATACCCACTACCCTCCAGGTAACTTGCTTGCACTGCCGCCTCAGCTTAAGGAGGCTATACGAGTAGCATGTTAGCATCATAAACAAATTAAACGAGTAAACAAAATCATAGTAGTTCTAAAGCACTTTATATGCCCTGTATATAATTAGCAAAATAAGTCGGTTATAAACTAAATTGTTATATGGCCCAATATTCAAAATGCCATATTTAGTAGTACAAGAAAAAAGCTCCTAAAACTTTTTTCTATCTCTATCATCATACTGAAATTATATTCTTCAATTCTGCTATACAGGGTGAATCATAAATAAGGATAAACAGTATCTGGAGTGGGAGATCTCGATAAACGAAATATGTTTTCTCTTTGTTATTTTTTAAATAAGCCCTAATTAGCCCAGTTTTTTTTATTGTAATAGGCGAGTTACCTTACTTGTTTAGTTTATTAAATACAAGGACTACTGGATTGTTTCTATTTTTTTTGATCCTCTAAATTTAACTAACTGAATTGTGTTGATATTTTATCAAGTTATTATGTTGTTTAACTGAAAATTGAAACAGTTTTCACGTTTTTTTTGCAAATAAATATATTTTCATTTTTTTATGAAAAGAACCTCATACACGTGTTCCTGGGATAGAAATATATTAGCCCTAAAAATTTATGAACTTATTTAAGGCTCACCCTGTACAGATGCAAGAACCTAATGTTTGTTACAGATGTAATTATGCTGAGATTATTGGTATCACTAAAATTAACTTTATCAAAACAAAATATCTATATGTTAAGCAATACAAAATTTGTGAGCCTGCCATATTTTATCTGTGTCCTACATCCAAGTTTAAGACCGATAACCAATATTATTGTTTTTGGATCTCAAATTAAATATCCATAAAACGATACTAAAACGTGATATAAAGTACTGCTTTTATCACCTAAACCAAAGTCCATATCAATTACATTCATCTAGAGAACATAATTTTATTCTCTACTTCATACTTCATTCTTAATGTTAATGTTGTTTTTATTAAACAATTACTTTTTTACCTAATTTATTAAATTTAATCAACTCTAACTAACACAATGTACTACTATAAAATTAAATGTTCAATCTTAAACAATGTACATAGAAATGGGTATTCAAAAAAGTTAGCTAAGTTATAAAATTATATCATATAATTTTACCCGGGTGCGTCTCAAAAGTGGCTCACCCCTATAATTTTTTTATTTTTTCAGATAAAAAAACGACATTTGGTATGTTAGTATATGACATAAATTAGGATAGATTGACGTATTCAATTGTTTTTGGTTACTTCCTGTTTCACCGGAAATGACTACAACTTTTGATTTTTAAATGGCACCCTCGGTATTTTTTTACTTTATTCGATAGAAAATGACATTCTGAATAGAATGACACATCATATGTCAACTTTTGACATTCTCTCTTAAAACAAAATTGAATTTTAAAATTCAATCTAGAGTGCCATGGTTATATCGTTATATTAAAAACACTAATTCTTAATCAAGAAGCCTTGGAAAATAGATTTGATCGTCTAGTGTCTTGTCCTGGCCAGTTAGCAAATACTCAAATCGTATTTTTAATCATATCTATTTTTTTTCAAATGGAATGAGGGTGGCTCATTAGCATATTTGGAAAAAGCATTTTTTTACGAATAATTTGGTACCACACACTTCGTATTTCGAGTCAAATTTTCGTTACAAACCGCAAATTATAATTTCAAAGAAACCATATGCGAAAATGTCAAAAGTTGACATTTGAAATGTCATTCTATTCAGAGTGTTATTTTCTATCGAATAAAGTAAAAAATACCGAGGGTGCTATTTAAAAATCAAAAGTTGTAGTCATTTCCGGTGAAACAGGAAGTGACCGAAAACAATTGAGTACGTCAATCAATCCTAATTTATATCATATACCATACCAAATATTGTTTTTTTAACTGTAAAAATAAAAAAGCTATAGGGATGAACCACTTTTGAGACGCACCCGGTATTATAAAATGACAGCGATCTTCAATTCATAGCCATCGCTGACGCCGTTTTTTCGATCATATTGAAGTACTCTCTCCTAGAATTATGAAAGTATTTCTCTGTATTTAATAAAGTTAAGTTAGTTGTTCAAATTATAATTGTGTAATTTTTATCACTAAATTTTGAAAATAAGTAAATGGTGCAATATATATCATCACTTCAAATATGTTTGGTCCTTCTTATTCTTAGACCTACTTTACAGTGACAATGGCAATTATTATTGATCGTAATTTATTCGCATTCTTTATCAAATAGTAATACTACAGCGTGAAAATGACAAATAGATTTTAAACAAAACACAGCTATTTTTATTTTCCCCATTGTAGTTTTAACATTTGATGAAAGATTCGAATATACCACACTATACAGGGCATTTGGTAACATTATTTTTGGCCACAATTTTTAAAAATAAATAAAATACAAGTTTCCTTGTTAAATACCACTGATTAATTTTTATAATGCTATTATGCTGTCACTGAAAACCTCAACTATTAACAATAAAAGTAAGGTAAAGTTAAAACAAATATACTGAGAATTCATATGCTATGCTGTTTAATTTAAATATTATTTATAAATATACAGGATAAGTTTTAAATAAGTGCAAATATTTTTAGGGGTGGTATATTTCTATGAAATTTTTTTCGCAAAAAAAGATGTTGAAAATCCTGCATTTTCTTTTAAATGTTTCTGTCTATTTTGGATTATTTTAGAACTGCTTGTTCACCGCAAAATTTTTCAAGGTATAATTTCTTAATCTCTGATATTACCATAGTTATGGCTTTCCTCTATGGTTACGCCATTAAAAGGGATGCAAATAGAGAAATTTTTTGAAACCCCGTTGCTCCCATTTTTTTTTCTAAATATATTTTTTTTAATTTTCAAACTTGAATCGGTTATTTTGGATTTATTTGGAAAACGGTAAAGGGAAAATATGGTTCTTTTATCGAGATCTACCAGCCCTAAAAATATTTGCACTTATTTAAGACTCACCCTGTATCTTATTTAACACTTACCCTATCGCATTTATTATAGAAGTTTTTAATAGTAGCGACATCTCAATGTCGACAAACAAGTTTCACCCAACGATTTCATTCTTTCCTGCCATCTATCAGCGTTTGTTAGCAGCGCGATATCGATTGCATCGCTTCACATCGCTTGCAGGAATTAATAGCGCTCTTTTTTCTCAATTTCAGAACGTGTATCTGACGCGGTTCGGGTATATGCCATCGGCGACAGATGACGCTGTCGGTGCTTTAAGGACAGAGGAGTCCGTTCGAAACGCAATCAAGGAAATGCAGGAGTTCGCAGGAATACCCGCAACAGGAAAACTGGACGATAGGACAATTAAGTTGATGAACACGCCCAGGTAGAGTATTATATGTTTTTTTTAAATGGATTACTGCATTGATACATATATATATATATATATATATATATATATATATATATATATATATATATATATATATATATATATATATATATATATATATATATATATATATATATATATATATATATTTATTTATTTTGGCTAAATAAGCCATTTTCGTCCAACGGTAAGATTTTTTTAGTTTACAATAAATTCAAAACTAAAATCAGACATCAATCAGCAAACTTCATTAGGCTTATCCTTTAACTCTTTGTAATAAAATAACGAATATTTCAGAAACCTCTATTTAATTTTTAACAGTAATACTTAATATACAGGGTGGTCCGAACTGTATTCCGGAAACTTCGGCAGCATATTCCGCAAATAAAAATAAGTTGCTTACTTTCGGAGATACAGGGTGTAGAAGTTACATTTTTATTACGATTTTTTCCAAATAATTTCTGAAGTAAAATCAATATTTGGATGGGAATTGGTGTCTGGGAGCTTTTTGACATGAGAAATTTGATTTTGATGTCAATATGACTTTTATTTGTAGAGGGCGCCACCTACATGTGTGTGTGTATTATGAAAAATAACAACTTTTCGTACCTGTATAAAACTATACTGAGTAAAAAAATATGCATTTCCATGATTTTTTACGTAAAAAATGTCTGTTGGTAAAAATCGCTACGAGCAACCCTTCAATAGTCAATACATATCATTACTGACAAAAAATAAACATGCTGAGTAGATAGTTATTTGACTAAAATGATAAATTTAAGAACTTTTTTTTAAATTAATCATAAATTTCTTTTCGAAAAAATGATGATAAAACAGTTTCTGTTGAACTTTTGGCACAAAAACATTTCAAATTTATGGTTTCAGTATATTAACTATTTTGTCAACGTGTTTAAAATGTATGTCAATGATGACAGGTGGTGATAATTTAGATTCCAAATATCTCGAGAACCATTACTCGTAGCGATTTTTAGCAAGAGACCTTTCTTGCGTAAAAAACGTCGTAAATATATATATATTTTTAACTCAGTAGTTTTATACAGGTACAGACGAAAAGTTATTACTCTTCAAATCAGTTAAAATGTATGTAGGTGGCGCCCTCTACATGTAGGAGTCATATTGACATCAAAATCAAATTTTTCATGTGAAAAAAGTCCTAGACACCAATTTACATACAAATATTGACGTTACTTCAGAAATTATTTGGAAAAAATCGAAATAAAAAAAATTTCTACACCCTGTAATGTTAATGTCGTTGATAGCAATTCTCCAAAACTATCTTAATATTTGTTAGACCAAATGAGAACCCATTTTCTTTAAACTTGAATTTTATTTAACAGGTATTATTTGAAACGTAAGTGTTTTTAGCATTATACCATTGTTATACTACTAGATAATTACACAGATTTTATAAAATATTTTTTATCCCTTAGGTGTGGCTTACCGGACAAAAGTCGACAGACATCTGGAAGACGGAAAAGATATTCAGTTCGTCATATAAAATGGCATCGAACTGATTTAACGTGGAGGTGAGTAACTTATATCTTATATATGGAAACATAACTTATAAAATAATATACGGAGACAAGAATAAAATTTTGTTACCAATAAAAAAAATAAAAAAGTTTCGCCCGAGCAGGGACTTGAACCCTGGACCCTTGGATTAAAAGTCCAATGCTCTACCGACTGAGCTACCCGGGCAACGGAAACCTATTTTTATAAGTTCGATATAAACTGACGGTACTATTTTTTCCTTCAAAATCGTCTATTTTTAAAAATTTCACTGTCCTGTCCGTTAGCTTGTAACTTGTGACTGTACATTTTTATTGTAGATCATCATGTATCTACCTCATTTTTATAAATAAAATAAAACACTGTTACTTTGTTCCCGACTTATGGTCCGAATTGCATCCGGAAAACTTAGGCCCCCAGCATATTCTGCAGCATATTCTATTATAAGTTATTCTGTTATAAGTGAATTAGTTCGTATAAATTTGTCTTAAAATGCTTCGTTTTTGAGATACAGGGTGTAGAATGCATAAGTTTCATTTTTATTTCCCTTTTTTCCAAATAATTTCTGAATTAACGTCAATATTTGGTGAAAAGGGTGTTTTTCACATAAGAAATTTGATTTCGACTCCTACTTGTAGGGGGCGCAACCTACATGTTTTTAACTGATTTGAAGAGTAGTATAACTTTTCGACGGTATCTGTATAAAATTGTCTCTTGGTAAAAATTGTTACGAGCAACCGTTTTCGAGATATTTGGAATGGAAATAGTCAATACATGTCATTAATAACAAAGCATGTTGACTAAATAGTTATTTAAGTGAAATAATAAATTTGGGAACTTTTTATTTTTTTAAGCTAATCATCAATTTTTCTAAAAAAAATACGATAAAACAGTTCACACAAAATCATTTCCAATTTATTATTGCAGACTAATAACTGTGAGTCAACATGTATAATTTTTGTCAATTAAAACAGTTTCTGTTGAACTTTTGGCACAAAAACATTTCAAATTTATGATTTCAGTCTAATAACTATGTAGTCGACATGTTTAATTTATGTCAATGATGATAGGTATTGAAAGGTATTGAATATTTCTATTCCCCCCAAATATCTTGAGAACCATTACTCGTAGCAATTTTTACCAAGAGACATTTTTTACGTAAAAAATTACGGAAATGTATATTTTTGCACTCAGTAGTGTAATACAAGTACGGGAGAAAAGTTATTACCCTTCAAAACAGCTAAAAAATATGTAGGTGGCGTCCCCTACAAGTGGGGGTCATACTGACATCAAAATAAAATTTCCCATGGCAAAAAAAAGCCAGACACTAATTTTCATCCAAACATCGGAGTTAACTCAGAAATTATTTGGAAAAAAATTGAAATAAAAATGAAATTTCTACACTCTGTATCTCCGAAACGAAACATTTTAGGACATACATTTATACGAACTTTTTTACTTAAATTTATATGTAAAATATACTGCCGAAGTTTCCCGAATATAATTCGGACCACCCTGTATAATATACAGGGTGTCCCAGAAATAAGTGCAAGTATTTTAACCCCAGAAACACGCCTATGAGGTTTTTTTCGCAAAAAACATTTTGAAAATTAGAAATTTTTTGGCTTTTTTTTTAGTTTTTAGTTAAAAATCATAATTTTTTGATAATATGGCAACATAGGTATTAGATTAAATTTACAAGAAAGAAAATCCCGAAAAAATCCAGTGGTTCTCAAAGTTTTAGCAAAAAAACTTTTTTTTTGAAATTTTCAAAGTAAAATAACTCCGTTATTTTGGACTTATTTCAAAAACGATAAAGAGAAAATATGTTTCTTTTATCGAGATCTATCACCCCTTAAAATACTTGCACTTATTTCTGGGACACCCTGTATACATTTTGCATTCAACCTAAAATATCAGTCTAAGAACGCACCAAAAGAATTATTAAAAAAACTAGTGATGTGCAAATGCAACTACACCAATACTCCCTTGGTCTAGGTGTTGCAATTAATAAATAGTCTTGGTCTAGTAATATTCTGTGGTCTTCGTCTTACTATAAGACTCTTGCAACCCTTGCATTTTTTTAATAATATTTTACTAGATGCTTATTCTACATAGAAAATCTTTAAATAGATAGTATTTTAAGTATTTTTTGGGCTTGCTTTTTGTGCAAGAGCAAGACCAACTCTCGCTAATCACTAAAAAATTAGGTTGACTGCTAGAGAATACTATCCAAGGTTAGACTCACTTGCTCTAGCATACTTTGTGGACACTAACTTAAGTTAATTCAAAGAGAAAATTAAAACACTTTTCAATGTCTACTTAGAATAAACTAAATTAAATGGCATTCTCATGGGACAGTTTTTTAAATATGTATGAACAGCGTTCTTCTAGTTTACACGTCGTACTTTATATTTACACATTATATATTAATGCTTTTTAGGGATTACTTCGCTAGAGTTTTTAGTAATATTAATTTTTTGGAAGTATAAAATCAAAGAGACAAAAAAAGGTAATAGTTATTGGTGTAACTAATGCAAAAAGGACATATTTGTCGCATGACGCATGAGTTTTGCAGCTCGAGACGAAATCGAGAGCTGCAATCATGTTGAGTGCAACAAATATGCTTTTTGCACATGTTGCACACAACATTTTTTCTACGATCGAATTGAAATTCTTATTAAAATGTTCATTAAAAAGTGTTTACAGTATAGTTCACAGAATAATATATATTTTTACCACTAACAATGACACTTTTATTTTTTTTAATAACTAACTTTTTTTAGAAAGTAAAAGTAAAGTAATTAGTAAAATTTTTACTCCATATTAATATACTACATTAACACTTTTTCGTTAGATGTGTTTTGTTATAAGGTCTAATATAATAATATAATTAATATCCCACATATACTTATGTTGAAACGTTAGTAGGTAGTTTTCGAAAATCGCTCCAACGTCGATATTCAATTTATACTTTCAGTTACTTCTATATAAACACTCAGTTACTTTTGAATACTTACAGGGTGACTCAGGCTTCCGAAACAGTTCTATATTAGGTTTGTGGTTAGTGACTTTTCTTTCAATTTTTTTTTAGAATATGGAGGCAATGGTAAAGCACGTTTTAGACATTTTTGTAATCATAGGTGGCCGGAACATATTTTCAAACTAAAGTTGTAGATTTGCTATTAAATTTCCATTCCAGAAATACCTAGGGTTGCCACCTGTCCTTTTTGAAAAGGACAGTCCTTTTGGAATAACTTGTCCTTTTGACTTTTTTGACTTAAAAGTCATTTTTTATTTACGTATTTTCCCTGAGAGAAGAAGAACTTAGAACTTCCCGTTTAATCTCTGAGAAAATTACCTACAGCAAACAGAAATATTCTTTTCGTCCAAATTTAATTAGAGATGTTATAAAACTTATAAATAAATTTTTCTTGTTTAGAATAGGCAACATTATTTGAATATGATTAGAATTTCCCGTTTAATCTCAAATGATAGTTTAGGTTTTAGTTTTACCTTTTTTGATCTTAAAAAGAACCTTTCAAAATTAGTAATTAGTAACGATTTAGTTAGTTCGCAATCGATAGCTTCCTGTGAAGTACTGTGTAATAGTTGTTTAATCTTGTATTATTAATAACTTCCTATACCTAAAATCAATATTTATTATAATCCTTTTAGTCTCTCAATAGAGGGCATTTATCATTAAAAGTATCAAATCTGTGTGCTACAGTATGGGATTTCTGTCGCATAATAATGAATATTACGTTTATTTACAAATCCATTACTTAGGTAGCTTAATCAGACAATCAAATTTTAGTTAAACGTCCCAATCTTCATGAACTGTATTAAGCATATGTATTGAATCACCCTGTATGTTGACAAAAATATTTTGAAAATGTGCGTTACAATGGCCCCGATCTTATGTAAAGATTGAAATAAAAATCACAAACCAAAAACTTAATAGGTAAAAAGCTTTTTGGAGGCCTGGGTCACTCTGTATATAGGTATGTATAAAACTAGTAGCCTAAAATAAAAGGTAACACACCGTACAAATAACTCTAGGAAGAGGTATTTGTATTGTACGGTGGTAAAAACTTGTCTAAACAAGACCGAAGGGGCAGATACAAGATATAATTAAGCAATAAAATGTAAAAAAGGTCGGGTAAATACCTTTGTTTATTTGTTGAGCAAAATTCCTTTAGAATATCGTATATAATGACCAAAATATGACGCAATTTAAAAAAAATGTCACTTTCTGACATATAATAAAGTTTCAAATGCAACGTTTATATTCAAATTTGTTATGATCTACAACAGTTAGGTAGTAATTGAGACGAATTATAATTCAATTATCGGCTACTACGTTCTTGTTTTAATAGATCAAAATTCAACAAATATAATTAGAAATTATTTTAATTTTGAGAGGCTCCCTTGTAGGACGCCTATGTACGATTACGGCGGAAACAATACCTACCTGTGAAAAGACAAATTCGGGTAATTTGAGCTTATTTTTCCACACATTTGACACTGTCCTACCATATTGAAAATTCGCAGATTCAAAAGTACGTTAAACAAAAACAAAAACTACTGAAAACCACTGAAAAGTTCACTTCGGCCTTGATTCCGACTTCAAACACACCGTAAGCTAAACGTAGTACGCTATAACGGACCAAAGACCGTCGCGAGGGGTGGTGGGACGGACGGCTCATTTCATTCTGGAAGACTAGCAGCGATGTTGCCAATAGTTCTAGACGTTTCAGCACATTAAACAGTAAACATGTCCTTTAATAGTAACGCATAGATCCTCTGGTTAATAACCATATTATTACGCATGCTTCTTTAAAGATAAACTATTAATTTAATTAAGAAATTGAGATTTATTGATATCCGGTGAAGGTTCTAAAGTAGATAGGCGCAAATTTGAGATGTGGCAATGTCGCCTTCTCTATCTCAGTTGGTTTTTACAGTACGTAGTCAACCTCCGGTTGTTTGATCGGGTTAAAATGCACAATGTGAT